ATTAACTTTAATAATTTTAATTATATAAAATTTTGTTTTAGATATACCAATAACATCAACAACAACAACAACAACAATGAAATTACTTGCTCTTTTATGCATTGCAATATTCGCTGTAGCGACTTACGCTTCACCGCCATTAGGAATACCTGAAGAAAATCTTTCTGAACAATGCAAGACCCCTAAATGTCCAGAAATCAGTGGCAAGGAAACTATTAATTTACCTTATCCATTGGATTGTTTATTATACATTTCTTGCGGTCCTGAACGACGAATTGAAACTTGCCCTGACAATTTAGTCTTCAATAAGGTAATTTTTTATCCTTATATTTTAAATCCATAAAATAAAAAAATTTATCAGTCTTATCATTCATATTTGCAAGTCTACAAAAGAATTTTCATATTTACATTAATTAATTTTTTATTAAAAAATTGAAAAAAAAAATTTATTATATTTATTAGATATCAATGTGTTATTCAATTAATTATGAGTGATGTATATTCATTCAAACATAGTGATATTATTAAATTAATTATAATAATGTTATTTATTCGATCAATATAATATAATTTAACAATTATATTCTATACTTACATTTCATTGATATTAAATATATTATTTAATAAATTATTAATTAAATATATATATATATATATATATTTTTATAAATAAATTGACTAACAATTTTTGGATTAGAATTTTACGAGAAACTTGTTATCAAAGGGTAATTCGAAAATACTGATCAAAGAAAAAAAAAAAGAAAAAAGAATGAAATGTTCGATGTCTTGCTTTGATCACGTTTCAAACGTAATAATACATATATGCACACACGTATATATTCATACATATATATTAAAAAGGAAGGAAAGAAAGAAAGAAAAAAAGAACCGGTTCCCTATTATAAGGACTCGACGTCACGAACGCGTGACACGAGCCTCTCCGAGTAAAAAGTCACGACCTCGAAAGTCACCCTTGAAAAGTCCCTTGGAACTCGCGGTGCTTTCACCGTATCCAGTTACGGTGTTCGTTGTCCTCGTACTTGTCGTAGTAGTAGTAGTAGTAGTAGTAGTAGTAGTAGTAGTAGTAGTAGTAATAGTAGTTGTGGTGGTCTTTTGTGCACTCGTGCACACGTGTCCATTGTAAGACCCGGGTGCTTCACCTGACACGTGCCAATTTTCAATTCACATACTGGTGTCGAATGCGTAACTGCTTGACTTATTGACACGACATTTTTGTCAAGGGTAGATATACGTAAGATACTCTAATTGTATAAATCGATCAAAATCGATTTTTTCTTTTTCTATAATATTAACTCTTGTTAATGTTACATACACTCATACACTCATAATGTGACAATGAACATTGTATCTTATCTTTTTATTGTAATAACATTTTTCTTTCTTTTTTCTTTTCTTTTCTATTTTATATATCATATATTCTTTTATAATCGTTATCGCGTTAGAAATTTGATTAAACCTGGTGAGAATCAAGGTCAATCGATTTTTTTTTCTTTTCTTTTTCCTTCAACAATTTTATCACCTTGCATCGATATACTTTGTGTGTTTTATTATTATTATTATTATTATTATAGAAAACTGGACAATGTGACACTCGCGAGAATGCTCAATGCGTACCATGCTGGCAATTACCATCCCCATAATATGGACATGGATAAAGATTTATTTATAATTGATAAATTTTTAATGGATCGAATTTAAAGAAGAAAGGAAATATTTAAATAAATTTATTATAACATATAATAATAATAATATGTGAACCGATACATGAAAAGATTATTCTATTTATTTTTGAATAAAATTTTCTTACTTCCTATTCCCTTTAGCATTCCTTTGACCTTTTCTCATTTTTTTTTTTTAATGTTGGTTCTTACAAACAGACTCGTTATTTCCATCATTTTAATGAACGACCATTTAGAGTTAATATTCGCAAATGTTAAGATATTCTTTCTCGTTTGTGATCTTCGAGTATACTTGAAAGTTTTAATCTAACTATAAAGTTAGTTTAAAATGTCTGAAGAAGAAAAAAATATAATTGTATTGCTAAAGGAAAACGGGCATACGGGTGATGTTTGTAGATTGAATAGAGTGGGTCAAGTGATATCGATCATTTTTTGAGGAGATAGAAAGGAGATAGATACAAAGATATATATATTTTGTTTTACACAAAAGCTAACAATTATATTCAGTTTCATAGAGCCAGAATGATTGGTGAGTTCGATCAGGGGATATATCCCTTTTTATACAAAATACAATATGAATACTTAAAGTATTCAAGGAATTGAAGAAATCTCGTTTTATTCTTCTTACCCTGTGCAAAATGCTAACGAGAAAGATTCATTTTGTTAAATAGTTAATCAGCGAATATGATTAGGGTTTTTGAAAACGTGTAATTAGTCAGCAAAAAAAGTAAACTACGTTTTGATATGAATTTAAATGTTCAGAAGGTATATTCTCAACTGACCTATAACAAAGAAGAAAGGTAACATACAACGGCACTAACACTATCGTATATGTTAGCCATTAATAGATTTTTCCGTTCGTCCACAGCCTTCGATGTTTCTGACGTCAGCATTGTCAACGATTAACCGTCGAGAAGTTTTATCCATGATATTGAAAGATATTTCAAATTCTATCAAAAATACTTTGATCAGTTGGGGGGAGGGAGGACAGTGGTCGTAGGGGTAAAAAACTCGATCTTGCCAATTCCAAAATTATTTGTCAAATAATTTTCAAACTTTACAAATATTAGGATGAATCAAAAGTTCGTACGTTTTATAAATTGTGTTATATAAGATGCACGATGGATTGTTTTTGTAAAATTTACATTTAGAAATGTTAATTTAAAAATGGGTGAAAAAATTTTTGATTCATACTAATATATAAAATCCTTATTGTTAAGAATTATTATCATATATATATATAAATATATATATGTATAAGGGTGAATCAAAAGTTCGTGCGTTTAGGGTTTTATAAATTGTTTTTTTTAAATTGCATAATGGATTGTTTTGGAAAAAGTATATTATATATTATCTACCGTACGAACCGTTGTTGAGATCAATTATTTCTATTAAATATTTTTAAACAAAATTTTGACCGGTAAAAAAAATATTTTAAATTATTCCTACGGAATAATTTTACATTGGTAAAAAATAACAAAACAAAAAAAAATCAAAGAAAGGAATTTAAAGTCTCAAAAAAAAAAGAAGAAGAAAATAATAATTACAATTACAAACACACAATTCAAATATCAATTACATCATCAAACGTTACGAATGTGTAAGTAGATTTAAAATTCTAAAAAAATCCGAAAATATATTCTTTTCCTAGATGGTAGTAGTGAGTTGTGTTTGGTTGTTGTGTCGGTGGTCCGTTGAGCGCCGACTCGTGAATTTTCACTCAAAGTCCACGCCTCCTTTGGTAAGTTGGGTTTGGTGGTAGGGTTTAGAGAAGAGCCTAGTGTTCGTATATGAAACAGGGATGGAATGAAGAAAATCAGAGAGAGGAAGAGAAAGAGAAAGAGAAAGAGGAAGGAGAGGGGGAGTGATGAGTATTGCGCGCGCGCCCCTTTACCCTTTACTCTTGGCAAAATGTCGACTGGTGTGACGTCACGCGACGAATCAATATCAGTGTAGGGACTTCCGTACGTACAGAGAGCCACCGACCGTTCAGTACGGGGTGGCCTCCGCGACAGTCAGGGACAATCCCTTTTTGCCACCACCGATCAAAGGACAACGACAAGGAAACGAGAGGGAGGTTACACGTACACCTTTTCCCATTGATCAATCTCTTAACATCATCCTTTATTGTTCTTAATATCTTTCTTTATTTCTTTCTTCTTCTTCTTATTCTATTTTAATATAACATTTGAAAAAAAGTTATACCATTCAAATTTTTTACTTAAAAAGAAAATAGAGGAAACGAAAGAAGAAAGAATTTCGTTGACCGTCAGTATCGTGTACAAGTGTTTGATTAAACATGACGATAAAACAGTGTTGAGATACTTGATAATAGGGTTACTGATTGTGGTGATCGTGAACGTAGAATTTTCCTCAGCAGTGCTGGGTAAGTAACATTTGGAGAGGGGTTGATTTTATGGATGGGCACGGGGGAAAGAGTGGGAGGATTTGTTTATTGTTTTATGATAGAATCGTATTACAACGTTAGGGAATATAGACGTGTAAGATTGTTGGGTTTATTTATCTTGTTTTCTTTTGTTTTACAAATGATTCATGTTCATGTCAATCAAGGGAATGGATTGTGTAAGTTTGTTGTTGAAAAATGTGACGAAGAATAAGAATAAGAAAAGGAAGATGGGCAAAACGAACAGGGGTTGTGATTTTTTTTTCAGAGAGAGTGCCGTTGTACCGATCGATCGTGATCGGTGGCGGTACCAAACGGAAGTCTCCGAAGGGCGAAGAGACATTAGTGCAGAGAAGTAGAGGAGGACTTGGTGAATCGAGGAAAAATCGATGGCCATCAGCGCCCATGGGCGGCCTCGCGTTTAGGACAAGGAACAGCCCCTCCCAGAAGACCTCGCTCCGGTGGGGTGATTGCTGCCCCCCAAACCCCAATCCGCCGTCGTCGTCGGCCCTTTGGAAGAACCGCCAACGAGACATGCCGCCGGTGCCCGTTTGAGGCTGTCCCCCGTTGCTGCGTGATTGTACTCCTAGGGGTCTTCAGAGGTACACCTCATTTTCTTCATCTTCATCTTTTCTTATCCCCCATTTAACAATTCCCTATTTAACGAAATCATTTGTTTAATGTTAAAATTTATTTGATTTATATTAATTAACATTTGATATATATTTTTTCTCTTTTTAAGTTTGTTCGAATAAGGATACTCGTTTGATACGATTAAACTAGTATTTTAATTGATTTAATATCTTAGGAATTAAAATGAGATCAATTAATTGATCATACATGAGATGGTATCCTTGACAATCCTCAGGGCTATGACCTTTTTCATCCCCGTTCTCCAAAATTCCGTCCACTAGCGAACCTTCTTCATCCTTCCTTCCTTCCTTCCTTCCTTCCTTCCCGACGATTATAGTATAGACCCGGGACTAATTGGATCAGAGGGTTAACCCAACGGACCGATTTTGAATTGACTCTAACCCTTAAACATTATATTTACGGTTAACTAAACGCGTTTGATTTTAAAGTATGCATGCATACACATATTTAGTTAGGTACTTAAGCTTATAACGCAGAATGTTTAATTCGATGGAAAAGCAAAGGTGGTGCGGTCTCTCTCCCTCTACCCGTGTTCATTTATACAATCCCTTTTTATTTAGGAACATCAACCCTCAAACCCTATTTATCTGCAATATCAAACGAATTCATTTCAAATTACTATTACGAATAAAATAAATAAAATGAAACAGCTAAAACCATCTCGTGTTTGATCTATCAAATAAGTTTTTTCAATGAAAATTATTTACAAAAAAAAAAGAAAAGAAAAATTGAATGAAAAAAATGTATCATTAATATTGTTAACCGTTAAAAAGGTATCCAAACGTTCCGAAATCGGACCGGTCAGGAAGTCTGTGGGATATCCGTTTTCGTCAACTCGAACATACACCGTTGGAACCGTACACCCCGAAGATGATCAACATCGCTGGCCTGATCTCGATCATATTGTTTTACGCGTTGATATTAGGAGTTGGAATATGGGCAGCAAGGAAAAAGGAGTCTGGCAACGACTCCGAGGAAGAGGTCATGTTAGCTGGCCGTTCGATCGGCTTATTCGTTGGGATCTTTACAATGACAGCAACATGGGTAGGTGGAGGTTACATCAACGGGACAGCAGAGGCCATTTACACGAAAGGTCTGGTCTGGTGTCAAGCACCATTCGGATATGCTCTGAGTCTTATTTTTGGTGAGTCTTTACTCATCTTGAACTTGGATTACATTTCACTTTCTTTACACAGTCATATATATATATCCTGTGTGTGTACATAAATGTGTTCATGTATTTGTATTATTTGTAAATGTCTCGAGAGTTTCTTTCACTAATTCTTTTCACATTCTTTTCTTTTCTTTCTTTCTTTTTATTAAACTTATATCTCGGTAAACTAACTGTCTATAAGCAGCTGTCTTGGATTTATTGTGAACTATTGTATAACATAAATTGGGCCAAGTTTGATAGAGACAATTTAATTAAACGATTTAATATATTTCAAATGATAAGAATTAATTTAATTTTCTATCGGATATATATATATATATATATATATATATATATATATATATTTAATTATAATTATTTTAAAGATATAGTTTAAGTAGCTCCTTAAACTGGTTTTAATTCCTAAAATTGAATCCCCTTATTTGAATAAATAAAATATAACGATAAAGTACAAATAATAAAAAGTAACGAATTATATGATCCACGTTGTTTCATGAATTTTGAATAATTTTCTAAGTTTCATAATTTGACCCGATGAATTATCATTTGATTAAAGAGAACAAAAAATTGATTTTTTTTCACGACAGGTGGGATATTCTTTGCGAACAAGATGCGACAACAGGGGTACATCACGATGCTTGATCCGCTGCAAGATGCATTTGGGGAACGAATGGGCGGTCTTTTATTTCTTCCTGCCTTATGTGGCGAAGTATTTTGGGCGGCAGGTATTCTAGCTGCTTTGGGTGCAACTTTAGCAGTAATCATCGACATGGATCAGGGTGCATCAGTCATTCTAAGCGCCTGCATCGCAGTTTTTTACACACTCTTCGGCGGTCTCTATTCCGTCGCCTACACCGACGTCATCCAACTTTTCTGCATTTTCATCGGACTGGTAAATAAATACAATTAAAATTTCAAATAAAATATAACAAACAAAAAAATGCATTCTCGCGTTAGTCGAATTTTCTTCAAAAAATTTTTTTTTTCATTTTTTTTTTCAAGTATCAAAGTAGAAGACTAACATATCACAAAAATGCCTTACTATATTCCTTTTTGAATGGATCGATAACACACAAACAAATACACACACACACAGACAAATAGAGAGAGAGAGAGAGAGAGAGAGAGAGAGAGAGAGAGAGAGAGAGAAAGACAGAGTGAGAGGCCTCTGTGAGTTTCTATGTTAGTATTAGTATTAACAAATTCACAACGTGTGTAAGTAGTAGTAGATTCAAGTGTAGGTGTTTGCGTAGGTGTTGACCTACTTTTATCAAGAGTTCTAGACTCTAGTCGATGTATCTCATTCCCAGGACACATATCCTTTCGATTATCATTAACGACGATGTCTTTTGATATAGTTATACTTCTAAAAGACAATAAATATGTTATTCCTACGCGTATAACAATCATTGGGAAGATAAAATCGACTTTTTTCTTTTTTGTACAAAAATTAGTTTCACAATTGTTGACATTTAATTTTACGGAGTAGCATTTACGTTACTTTTGCATTATCTAAAATATTCATTAATCAAATTTGAATGATTATCAGTGTTGTTTCTAAAGGTTCTTTTAGAATTGAATAAAAAAATACTTATAGAGATAAATAGGATAATAAAATAGAAAATAAAATGAGAATTCTATTCAATACGCAAAGAGTATTTCAGTTCAGTGAATCATCCATTAACCATAATTAATCGAGATATAAATCAAAAATCTCTATCTTTATCTCCCTATCATTCGTTTCGTGTCCGTCGAGAGTGTTTGGTTGCAACATACTAAAGAGTAGGTTTCTTTCAAAGGGGAAGTAAAAGGGTATATCCTTCCTCCTTTTCATTGAGGAAATCTTTTTAAAAGTATTCGCTGAGTAGATATATATCTACACGTTACCATTGAATTCTAAAATATTAAGATCAATATAAAGAATACAACAACAAAAAATTAACAAAATATATTATTAATTTAAAATCTAATAATAAATGAAATATTATTATTTATTTGAATGTTTAAGTGGATGTGCATCCCGTTTGCTTGGTCCAACCCAAAGGTAGAGTCACTTAGTTCCATGGAAGTTGACTGGATTGGCAAGGTCAAACCCGACGAGTATTTTTATTACGTAGATTATGGGTTACTTCTGATATTTGGTGGCATACCTTGGCAAGTTTATTTCCAGAGAGTACTTTCATCTAAAACAGCTGGTAGAGCACAAGTTTTGAGTTACGTTGCTGCTTTCGGATGCATACTCATGGCTATACCACCTGTTCTAATTGGAGCCATAGCAAAGGCAACACGTAAGTAATCAAATATTCATTTCGTTTCAAATATTTTCGTCTTATTATTCAAATGTAATTTAAATTAGAGGAATCCTTATTTTGAAAATCATTTCAATATTTTATAAATTGAATAATATTAATCAATACATAGGTACGAATCTAAAACAATTCAATCTTAATCTATAATAATTGATCAGAATATTATTTTTAAAATTATTATAAATTATTTTCGCAAAGACAGTATTAAAAATCCTTCTTTGGGTTTAACAAATGCACATTCTACGAATGAACATTTAAAACAAATCGTTCTTAATATAAACTATAAATTAGATTTAACAAATCTCAATAATTGTAGTAAAACAATAGTGACAAACGTAATCATTAAACCATCCCTTAATTTTCGAATATCGTTAGATGTAATCACGAGAGGTAGACAATTTTTTTTGTTGCTGTTGAGGAATCCACCCTCTGTATCTATAAAAGGGGAAGGGTTCGAATTAGATCTGGTATACTCGTCATTCCTTACGTTAGGAGTCTACTTGACATTTGCTACCACGGCACCCGGCACTGCTGGTATTTATAAGCTTTGTGAATACAAAAGGGTGGGGAAGAGGATATGGATGGAGAATGGGAATGGGGATGGTGATGGGTTTGGGGATGAGGAATGAGGAATGAGAAGTAGGGATGAGAATAGGGTGACTAGACTAAGAGGGTGAGTTAGAAGGATCCGAAAACGTGTACAATACCGTGGGACCTTGCCCATGTGCTATCACTATCTCTATCTCTTTCTATCTTATGAAAAGTAACGAGGGTGTGGTAATGCGACTCGACCACTAACGTGAAACACGACAACGTTCTGGAACTAATCCGACACCCTGTATATCGTTATCCGAAACTCCATTAACGTTCAAAAACGAAAATTGTCAGTGGAGTGGTACTAATCACTTATTATTATTGATTACTATTATTTCTTTGAACTACTACTATTACTACTATTACTACTACTACTACTACTACTGTCGTAGTTCATTAATTTTAAATATTTTGTTTTCTTTTTTTTCTTTTGTTTCCATTTGAAATATTTATACGTTAATTGTATAATATTTTTTGTTGATTTTTTTCTGACCGAATTAAAAAGGTGGGCTGATATATTATGTCATACATTATGTTACTTTGTTTGTATTATATTTATCGTGTTATGTTTTATATTTGTCCAAGGTAACATTTAATTTTAAAATATGTTATATATCAAAGTGTAAGAATTTAAATCAAACGTCAGATGTTTAATTTCGTTACGGTGACGATGTGAAATCATATCTTCGTAGAAACAGCTGGAACTTTCTCAGTTATTTTATACAAAACGCAACGTGTTCGATGTTATTTTTTTCACAGAGGATGTACGTACGCGTGTGTGTGTGTGTGTGTTCATAGAATGATCATCGGCACGTGAGAAATTATTATGATCCGTTGGAACGTTCAACAACGGAACGTTCATTTTGTTCTTTCTTTCTTTTTTTTCTGTTTTTTCTTTTTCTTTTCTTTTCAATTATTATCATTTATAACTTTCTAAATGTTCAAACATCGGAGTAAAACTTAATTGTCTTTCCTATTATTCTTGGAAATTAATTTAGAAAAATGTAAAATAACTTAAATGACGTATTAAAAATTTTTGTTTTTGTTCTTAAAAGAAAAAAAAAAGAAGAAAAAATCAAATAAAAAGGAAACAGAAATAAAATGAAACAAATACGAACTTTCTATCGAAACAAAACAAATCTTATAGTTCGGTGAGTAGAAAATAGAAAAGGCAGATAGATCATGATCGAAGATGATGCTCCACTTTCCCTTATTTTCAGATGAAATCTGTACTACATTTGAAAGATTAGAAAGAGAAAGAAAAAGAGAAAGAGAAAGAGAACGTGAAAGCGTCCTCGGTACGAAGGTGAAATGTTTGTTAACGGGTCAATCATTTATCTTCAATATTTTCTATCATTACCATTAATTTATATATATATATATATTAATTATCGTCTTATCATACGTCGACGTGTAAAATTTTATTTTTAATTTTTAAAAAGAATATTTTCTTTAAAACACGTAAAAAATATAATAATTAATAATGTGAATTAGATAATACGTGAATTAGGAATAAATTTACACATTGAAATTACATCAATTAATTGGTCATGGAAATATAATACAAATTAAATCAAAATTATTCGATTTTTGAAGAGATTCTTGAGGTCATTCAATTAAAATTAATTTTCACTTAGAATTGACAAATTAATTCAATAATTATCATAAAACATAATGAAAATATTTGATGTAGAATAAATCGTGGGTGTGTGTTAATTAAAATTAATATTCATCTTTTCGTCATAACAAATGATGGGATTGGTTTTATAATTTTTGTTTGTTTTTTTTTTGGTCTTTTTTTGTTACAGCTTGGAACGAGACAGATTATCACGGGCCATATCCATTAACGGAATCGGAAACAAGTATGATATTACCGATGGTGTTGCAATATCTGACACCAGATTTTGTTTCCTTTTTTGGATTGGGTGCTGTATCGGCAGCTGTTATGTCTTCGGCAGACAGTAGTATATTATCAGCCAGTTCGATGTTCGCTAGAAATGTTTACAAGTTGATCTTCCGACAGCGGGTGAGTTAAGTTTACACGTTTCCTAATAATAAATCATACATCTCGAATTTAATGGGACAGTATTTTCTCTTAACTTTGTTTATGTATGTCTCTCCTTTTCTTCTGCACCCCTACCGATCTGTTTAGGAAACACATATGACGATTATCATTAGCAATAAATTCGTTTTCTCGTATCGAGTATCAAAGAATATATAATCAACGATCACTTTCACTTCTTTTCATAAGACTGTCAAATTAAATCGAGTTATGTGATTATACTTAAAAAAGGATACATTTAATTAGCCTAACATTAGCTTTTATATGTTGTTTAATTCTATAACTCGTTATTTATAATACGATCATTTTTTATTACTAATGATCAATATACGGGTTGCCTATGCAAAAAAGAATGATCCGTAAAAATGGCCGATTTCGACCCGTATCGAATTGTGTTTCAAAAATATTCTGATATTTTTGAAATTAGCTCAATTTAAATAGAAAACTAATTATATTTATTCCAATTTTTGTATTGGTTTTTTTCTGATTTTTGTCAAAAACAGGCATCGGAGATGGAAATAATTTGGGTGATGAGAGCAGGAATTGGAGTAGTTGGTGTATTGAGTACGGTGATGGCCTTGACGATACCTTCGATCTATGGATTATGGTCGATGTGTTCCGACTTGGTTTACGTTATTCTCTTCCCACAACTTTTAATGGTCGTCCATTTCAAGGAATATTGCAATACTTATGGCAGCTTATCCGCTTATACAATAGCATTTTTGGTGAGGGTCAGTGGAGGTGAACCATTGATGGGTTTACCAGCATTAATCCGTTATCCTTGGTACGATGAAGAAACGCAAACGCAAATGTTCCCGTTTAGAACAATGGCGATGTTGCTATCATTGGTGACATTGATCTTTGTATCGTACGGTACGCAGGTTGCCTTTGAATCAGGTAGATTGGCTCCTGGATACGACGTCTTTAGGTTTGTATATTTTTTCAAAAAGTAAAGTAAAATAAATCGGTATAATAAATTTTACAAAACGTCACATAGAAGGATAGGTTATATTTCTTTTTAGAATTATTGTTATTTTCAAAAATATGTCTAACAAAAATTTTAATATAATTATTTATATTTGAATTTTGTATGTAACTTTAATCGTTAAAATAATAATAATAATTATTATTATTAAATATACCTGGAACAAGCTTAAATAAAAAGAAAAGACAACAAAAGAAACGAATCGTTTTGATTTATAATTCCCAGATGTGTGGTAAACATACCGGAAGACGTTGAACGGGTTGGACCAGATCCAGCGGAAGGTGAACAAATGGCAGTCCTTGCATCAGGAGCTGGAAGACTTTATGGTAGCAAGGACGAATCACACGGACGAGTGAATCCAGCGCTCGAGCCGGACTACGACATGGAGCCGGGTTACAAGGCTGTTGTGCCACCCGAGGGTGTCCTCGATGGTGGCGGGGGAGGGGGACAATTAGGTCTTCATGGACCAAACGTTCCTCGCCAACCACAATCCAGCACCGCGTTCTAATTCCTGGTTCCGTGATCGGATGCTGTGACCAACAATAACTGCGGTGGTTCGGGTACGTCTTTCTAATTTCCTTTCTTATATTTTTCCTCTCCCCCTTTCCCCCTCCTCCTCCTCCTCCTCCTCCTCCACCTTCGCGTCTATTTCTATCTTTCGAACAATGATTTCATTTTTTTTAGTTCTTGTTTTCTCTGAGTTTTCTTACTTTTCTTTATTTCGTTTTTTTTTCTTATCGTTCAATCCTAGATAATTCTCTAAAATTCTATCACGCTATAATCGGTACAACGAATGTTTCTTAAAACAAAAAAATTACTTTTCCTAAAAATCATTTTTCTTCGAGACATCTCTGAATGTGTATTTTAGAATTTTAACGTAATCTAAAGTAATTGAATCGTTCGATAAATTTCCTGTTGATTATCTGAATTTCAATCAGGAATTTTGTCAGCCGATTCGATAAATATAAATGTGTTGTACGCTTAAAATTAATCGTTGTTAGAACGTTATTTACTTTTATGATGATCAAATGCATGACATAATATCTTACTAGTGCTAACCGTCCGGATGAAAGATACATTGCATTTGCTAAACATAATAGAGAAAAAAAATTTAAATGATATGAGATAAAAAGAGAATCATTTTTAGGAAATAAAAATTTTAGAATGTGCGATGTCTTTCATCTATTCTCTCTCTTTCTCTCTATCTCTCTGTTTCTTTATCTTTTTATCTATTTCTTCCTTTCACTATTACTGTTATCTATGATTCGGATAAACCATAAAAAAAAATACGAACAATCACTTTTTCGGTAAATGTGTTTCATTTTTTTCCTTTTATTTTTTAATTGATAAAATAAAGTTCAAGGACACCGATCAATTACAATAACAATTAACAAAAAGAAATCTAACGTTATATATCGTATCTTTATCTTTGTTCTACAGATCTATAGATACCAAATGATCTATCCCACGGTTATGTAAGATTCGTGTCACGTTGGTAAATACGGCGTATAAATAATACATAAGATGAATTCGTTCCAAATAAATGAATTCTCGGTCAATGTTCTCTTTCCTAAATAAGAAAATGATTTGTAATAAGAAACAAAGATAAAAATAAAGATATTAATGAATTAGATTAACGTAATTGGAGTTCCTTGAACAAATAATGATTTTTCTATTTAATTTTTAATAATTTGTTTGATTTTTTCGTACCCGTACCGCCTATTAGGCCTAGTAATTTCCTTGTTTTTATTTAAAAAAAATAAAAATAATAAATAAAAAAAATATATATATATATTATATTATATATTATATATAAATATATTTAGAGTTTAATAATTAACTATTTGAAGAAGACTTAACATCTGAAAGGTACGACCTATCCGCTCGATTTCTATCATAGCGAAGTTAAATCCCGCTTTCCCCCTCTTCCCTATAAGAAATTGCATACATGGGGTGTCCCCGTTTTTCTTTTTCCCACAAAATTCAATAAAAATTACGAATGATTATTTGAACAATATTTTTTTTCTATTTTGTTATTTTTACTTGTGGAATATGTCGATAAAAAAAAGATTGTGTGTTTGTGTTTGTGGAACACTCTGTATATATTGAATTGAATAAAAAGTTTCTCTTTTCTCTGATTTTTTCCGATCAAATGTTTTTACGATAGTATAACTTCTTTGTGGTAACGTTATCAGGATTTACGTAAATATTTGCACATATTTGAAAAGTGACATAATCGATAAGGAACTTTTTAAACATAGATCGGTAAATAATTTTGAAATTATTCGGAGAAGAGATTTAATAATTTGAAACAAATATTTAAAACAAAATTAAATATAATATAATTTTGACATTAAAATACAAAGAAATTTTGTCCCCATGTCAATTGTATTTATGTATGCATATGCAAAAAGGGATGAGGAGGAGAAGGGAGAAGGAGGAAGGGGGAGGGAAGGGAAAGATCGGTGTTCGTTAGAAATTATATTATCGAAGCGCCGGAATGACTTTGTTGATAAAGAAAAATAAAAAAAAGAAATAAAAAAAAACAAAACAAAAGAAAAAAAAGAGTAATTAAATATAGGATAGAAAAATAATAATTATCGAGAAGCTAAATAAATGATGATGCGTATGTGTGAACCGCCAAAATGTTTAGAATTAAAAAACTTAAATCTCGTTTTAAGATGAAATCAATGAAACTCATCGACGAATTATAAAAAATTAAAGTCATCATTCGTTATTCGTGTCTGATCATTCTTACAGAAACTAACAAATAAAAAAAAATATATATATATACATAAAACAAAGGAATAACTTATTAATTAAACTAAACTAAAATAAAATAAAATAAAATAAAATAAAATAAAATAAAATAAAATAAAATAAAATAAAATAAAATAAAATAAAATAAAATAANAAATAAAATAAAATAAAATAAAATAAAATAAAATAAAATAAAATAAAATAAAATAAAATAAAATAAAATAAAATAAAATAAAATAAAATAAAATAAACTAACAAGAGCTTTTGTACTTTGCGATCGATCGTTATTGTTGTTGTTCTTCCCATGCTTTGCTCGAATACGAAAAAAAAACGAAAAATAAGGAAAGGAAAAAAAAATAAAAATAAAAAATACATTACAATCTAAACACGGGATGAATATTTGATTCGAATGTGAATAATATTCATTTCCCTAGGCCATTTTCCAACAAATGAATTATTATTATTATAATTATTATAACTATTATTATTAAATTCAACGTATTTGAATCGCGTTTGCGTTATTTTAAATCGAGTTCCTTGTGAGGCCAAGTGATTATTACGACGATCGATATTACCCGATGAGAAATAATTACGAATTGTTGTTATAATATTATTATTTTTATAAAAGTTATAATTAAATGATTAATTACGTAGCTCGTGTTATCTATTAAATTAATCTAATCTCGGTATTGTGTGACTCTTTTTTTTTTATCTTATCGGTTGCCTATAAACAATTGTATTGTTTTTCATTGGGTTTTTTTTTTTTACAATATTAGAATTTTTTTTTTTTACAATATTAGAATTTTTTTTTTTTACAATATTAGAATTTTTTTTTTTTTTTTACTTTCTTATGTTCGTAATTAATTGATGGATTATTTTTTATGATAGTAACCAAAAACTAAGCGAGAATTTGTTGAAAGGTTTTTTAGGATTGATTGAATGGTTTAAGTGGGGGGTTGAGATTTTGGGGGAATTTAATTTGTTAATGATTTTTCTAATCTCGTCGTATCAATTAACGAGTGGATATTTAATATGAAATTGGTATAAATCCTGGGCGGATTGGTCAACCTGCAGATCCGTTGTGTTTATTATATAGTATATATATACATGTATAAATAATAATAATAATAATAATAATAATAATAATAATAATAATAATAATAATAATAATAATAATAATAATAATAATATATAAGAGAAAATAGAGTATCAAATAATGATACATGCGTGAAAAGTATAGATACTAGATAATAATGTTAATTGGTGAATC